TTGTGTCCCCCCCCGTGGGGGGGTTTCCAAGCCGTGGAGAGGTGGGGTGAGGGACACGGGGCAGTGGGGACCTGGCAGGGATGGGTAGTGGCTGGACTTGATCTGAAAGGTCTCTCCCAACCAAAAGGATTCAAGGATTCTAAGACAAGCCCTACCCGAGAGCTGAGCCCGTTGGCCATGCCACCAGTGCTCCTCCTTGGCACGCCAGCCGTGGGCACCATGTCCTCCTCTGCTGGAGACTTGGTCCTGGGGGGCACGATGCCCACTGCGGAGCAAACAAAAACACCAGCCTGACCCCCTGGGGACACGGGGCAGGGTCCCAGCAAGACGCTGGGTACCCTGGCAGGCAGGGGCAGCCCGCTGGAGGGGCACCCGCTGATCCTGGCACCCTACCCCTTCTGCCTCCTGCTCCTGCCGACTCTGTGGGACCCCCTCGGCGGGGGGGGCTGCTCGCTGCACCTCCTTCTTGCTCTGCTCGAAGCTTGGCTTGGGCTGCGGGAGGGAAGGGGGTCCCTGGTGAGCCCCTGTGCTGCCTGGGGACCCTGCTCTGCCTGGGGACAGAGCGGCTGCTCTGGGCAGCCAAGGGGTGGCACAGAGCCTGCAGAGATGCTCCTGAGAGCAGGGGGACACACGGACACCAGCCAGCAGGAACCAGCACACCCCACACGTGCAGGGGGAGGGGCTGGCAGGGCTCCACAGATCCTGTCCCTGCCGCTGGGGCTGGGCACCGGGTGCTGTGCTCGCAGGACAGGCTCCTCTGGGGGAGAAGCTTCCTGCAGGGGTGACCACCCTGCCACGGCTGAGGTGGCACCAGCGAGCCCCAGGACTCTGCGCTGGGCTCCAGCAAGATCCTGTGCCCACAGGAGGGGACAGGGTCCCAGAAGTCAGGGCAGGCACTGTGCAGGAGCAGAGAGTGAGCCAAGGGCCTTTTTGGGGGTCCTGCTCCTCTCGCATCCCGAGGCACTGGTGCTGGTGTGATGGAGGGGTGCCCAGCATGCCCCCCTCAGCCACCCTGTGCTCTGCAGGGACACAGGACATCCTGACCCCCCTTGCACCCTGTGGATCTCTGGTACCCCACAGTGCTGGAGGTGCCACTTGCGCTCACAGTGGGGTCTGTAACCCTCCCCAGCTCAGTGCCAGCCCCCACGGGCACACATCCTCATCCCCCAGCTGTGAGGACACTTCTCCAAACCCAGCCCCTTCCCCCAGCGAGGGCAGAGCAGAGGCATTACCAGGAATTCCCAAATCCAGGTTTGCCCTGGCTGGGCAGGAGCTGTGGGGGGGTCACCCCCATGGGCAGAGGTTGCCAGTACTGCATGGTGGGGCGCAGTGCCATGGAAGGACAGTGAGAGAGGAGAGGGCAGAGGAAAGCAGAGGGGCTGATACTGGGGCTGCAGCAGCTTTGGGGGCTGCTCAGGAGCCAGCCCAGTGGGGGCAGGGGGCTTGGGGGGGGGGCAGGAGAGCCACCGCGGAG